CTGAAGTTAAGTGTATACCGCCGCCCATGGACATTTGCTACACCCGAGAGTTGAGATGCGTTAACGACCTTTTGAAAATTGGGCTCCGGCTACCTCACTCACAGACAAACGCCAAAGTATTTGTCATACTTCCACTTTACGCCGGTCTTCTGTGAGGTCGTGGTACTTACCCGGACGAGCCTGCCGTTGCGTGCGACACCCGAAGCTTCTGCATAGCCCTACCACAGCTTTTCACGAGCACACAATATTCGTATATATAATCTTCAGAAATAGCTCTGCCCTTAATATCCTTAGCATTAATGTCCAAACCGTCACAGAATTCGTTCATACGTTCAACTGTGATATGACCACGGAACACTCTTCGCTGTTGCACGAATGGGCAGGTTCGTTCGGTTAAGTGCCTCACTGAAGATCGACATGAAGTGCAAGTTACTTGTGTTTCGTCTGGTGAGAGGGCCCACTTTATTAAAAGGCGGCAACACATCTGCAACACCAAAGGTGTTGCAAAAATCCATGGGCGGCGGTTATCAATTAACATTAGATGAACAGCCAGCTCGCATAAAAAAGCACGCAATGTACACCTACCAAATAAAAAGTAAAGTAAAGCCTATACATATCCCACTGCTGGGCAAAGGCCTCCTCTGTATAGAGGGTATCAGGGCATAGTCCACCACGCGGCCCCACTGCGGAGTATATTGAATTAAAGGCGAGCGCCCGGATACTGAGCTATCACGGCTCTACGGCCTACCAAATAATTTAATCGAAATCCACACGAATGAAGACTGGCATTATAATGGATGAAGTAAATATTATTATTATGGCATGGTCAAACACCTTTGGTAAAACTTCGGTAACGGATATAAGTTCTAAAATGTCTGTATTCTAATAATCCCTTAGGAAAATACTTGAACGATATTAGGGTAAATAAATCAGGCTCGTGTTCCATGGTTTTCTTCACCTTTTTATTCATTATATCATTCAAATTTCCAACGCAAATATGAGACACTGATGATTGACTGAACGTCCGAGTTATTTTCGTGGTAGAAATTGATTTATCAAACTTGGGACGTAGGAAGTAGATGCTTTGTTCGTGTTGCCGGCAGAACGGCTTAAAAAAAATTAAGCTCCATGTTTGAACCGGGAGGCGAACCGGAAACATTGGGATGTAGTATTAGATTATATCTTAGAATTTCCAACTGAGTGAACCGATTTTGATGATTCTTTTTTTATTTGAAAGCTGGTGCTCCCCATGTGGTCCCATATTAATTTCTTTGGTATTGGATCTTGGGCTCCGGAGATACGTAGGGAGCTCCTGCAAACCAATTACAAAATGAATACAGAGCCAGATATTTGAAGTTGGTTTTGTTTTTCGGTAATAAGAAAATTGTCAACCACCGTTTGCCCGCGACTCTTACCATATCTCGGTCCGAGAGGGAGATCTTCCGGTTCGTGGTCACCACTCAAGAACTTTTATTCCCCATTGGTCATCAGTTCTTGGAACGTTGTGACCTGTCCTGTATAAATTTATAAAATAATGGTCACATTAATACTTATGTAAATCGTAATGTGTTAATTAGACGAGAACTTTTTCATTTTATCTTATTTAATATTATTTTGCGGACATTGGTGTTGGTTATATGTGGTAGGGCCACGCAACAGTCTTATCTGTTGCCCGAATGGGCAGGCCCGTCCGGATAAGTACCACGACCTCACAGAAGTCCGGCGTGAAGTGGAAGTGTAATACTTCTGCGTTTCGTCTGGTGAGTGAGGTAGCCGGGCCCACTTTATTAAAAGTTGGCAATGCATCTTCTCACATAAAAAAACCGTTTAGTAAAATAATTTGAAATTCTATGTTCTGTATATAATTGTTAATGTAATGTCGCAAGAAATATTTTTATTAAAATCCGGAAAGCTATGACGGACCCTCGTTCCTCGGCGAATTTCCTCGTTTCGGATTTAATTACAACAGGAAACTCCGAGAATAGCTCAACATAATTTATTGCAATCCATAACTTTTTTTAATGCAATAAAATCAACCGAAACGTGTTTACTTCCCCGATAGCAGTAGGATATACAGGGAGATTTTTTGAGAAGTGCCCTAATTTACACAGGAGGTTCAGACTCTGTAGCATAATCGTTTATTGAAATAAAAAATAAAGTTTTTTTTTCCAAAAAAAAAATGCCATTCTATTCCCTAAAAAACAGAACGTGTTGACAATGCGGTAGTCATTCATAAATACCTATGATAAATACTGTGCACGAACTTGTGTGCGTGTTATTTATGAATGATATAATGAGTTGCGTATAAAGCACTTTTTGAGATTCAAATGAATGAGATTAATAACCCGAGTGATTTTAAATATTTAATTTTTTTACACAGGAAGGTTCAGACTCTGTAGCATTTATAGCCATCATTTATTACGGCGCATATGAAATCCAAAAAACCAAAGTTTTTTTTTCCAAAAAAATGCGTTTTTTTTTTTTTTCGTCTGGTCATTCGTTATTGATAAATGAAATGTTGGAAGAAATATAGGTGATGCATGGGTTCATTTTGATGAAAAAGGGTGCTTCCGGAAAGTTTAAAAAAGCCGTGTGTTTTTGTAGAATTTTTCGCGAGCAGTGTTTGTAATCGTACACTGCTTCTTAATTTTTATCCTCGTCCATCTTCAATATTAATGATTTCAGAAGAAGTACGATTTCTGCAAGGAGAATTCTTTTGAAGTTATACTATTATACTTTTGGCGCGTTTGGAAAAAAATATGAGAATATAATTTTTACGATGCGTGCACACACAGACCGTCAAAAAAGGTCATAATTATTATGTTTGGTTGAAACTTACTAATCAACTTACAACCAATAATGACTTGTTGACGTTCACCTTTAATTCCGAGTTATTTAGATAAAACGTTATCTATTGCAGTTAATGTCTTTATGTTAAAGGATTATAACTTGTTACGTGCGTACTTACATAAGTACACATATGTCTTTTTTTTTATTTTACAATTGTATTTAACTTAAATATTGGAATTCCAATTTTAAATTGATAAAAATATATAAATAAATTTCAAAAAAATAGATTTATATCAAATAAATTCGATTCTAATCAAATAAACCCGTTTGTTTTATTAAAAAAATATATTTTTTTTTATTTATTTATACTTTATTGCAATTACCTTAATCAAGTATTACATAGGGCGAACTCAACCAAACAGCGAAGTCAACTCGGGGCGTGGAGATAAATTGTGGTAGGTGCAATAAAAAAAAATTGTTTATAGTCTACATCCGTCTCGCAGTCATTACATTTTCTCTTTTCCATTTCGGCTTGATTCAAGCTATTATCGGCGCCAAATGTCGGTTCTTACGGTGCACATTATCACAGGCTCGTTCCATTAAGATTGTTATTATAAATTCTTTAAATTATGTTCGATCGCTATCACTTATTTCGTTATATGTATTTATACACTTGCACACTCATTAAAACTCCCCATACAATGTAATGCTCATCTTCTATAATGGAACAATAGGTCTTTGTTTATGCACCTGTGTTTTTTTGTTTGGCTACAGCTATGTTGGCAATGTTATAGCTTTTATCGGTTAAGATATTTAACGGAGACTGTCCCACTGTTACTTATAGGCGTGTGTATAAAGCTGAATGAAATTTATAAAAAATCCCGGCCAAGTGCTAGTCAGATTCGCACACGAAGGGTTCCGTACCATTATCTCTAAAAAAACAGAATAAAATAATTTAGTTAACAAGCCGTTTTTATAGATAATGATATGGAACCCTACGTGCGTCGGTCCCACTCGCACTTGGTCGGTTTTTTAGTATTTTTTTGTTATAGCGACAACAGAAATACATCATCTGTGAAAATTTCCTCTGTCTTACTATCACGGTTCATGAGATACAGCCTGGTGATAGACGGACATACAGGCAGATAAAAAGACAGCGGAGTCTTATAAATAGGATCCCGTTTTACCTTTTGGGTACGGAACCCTACATAAGACAAACTACGTTTTAATAAAATAAAACGAAAAAGTTCAAATAAAACACTTATTTATTTATTCTATTTTATTTTACAATTTTAAGGAAACTAACAGCTAGCACATAATTAAAGTATTTGATTATAAGTACAGAAGGCCAATGATAAGTATCCACAATTAGTTAAATACAAAAGAATATAACGCGTACATAGAAGTATAACGGACATAGAGTGTACAGTGACAATTATAATAAAATTTACAAAATTAAGAAAAAAATATATGTACCTAATCGTATTTTTTCTTTTTAAAAAAGGCGTTGCTAAGCAGTTTTTTAATCTGATAGACAGAGGTATTGTAAAAATCAACGTCGTGTTGATTAGCGCGCGTTGAAACATCTGCTTGCTCGAATAAAGAATGAATTCTGCCTGTAATTCGTTCTAGCTGATGATACGTATAAGACTGCAGGTTTACGATATGCGGCGGTTGGAACTCTTAAACTTATGTTATCTTATCTAATAACTCTGGACAATCGACCGAGCCATTTGCTTCTGAATCTTCTACTTATGCAAGTGTTTGAGTTTATATTTGAATTATTTTGGACTCTTTTTTTGTTCTCTTTCTCACTTAGGGAGCACTAGTATTAATAAATAAATATAAATGAAATCATTTACGTGCCAGTCTTACTCGCAAAAGAGGCAGAATTGAAGAATTGACGACTGACTTCCAGTAATTGATAGGCACTTTGAGAATGGGTGACCCAGTCTCAGTAACAATACCCAGACTGGGTTTTATTAAAGAGCCTTTAAGACTGAAATTCGCAAATTAAGTCTTAAAATAAGTAGTAAAACTAAAAAAAAACTAAATCTGGAAAAAAAAAAGAAAAAAAAACCAAAACTGAAAAAAAAAATACTAAGACTTATCAGCTATATTTGTAAATCGCGTTTTGCATCTGTTCCAGATTGCTCCAGGCCCCGGCTTAACAGCTCTATCGCCCGCTTTTGCCCCGAGTGCTCGGAAAGATGGCGCAAGTTGGAGCCAATATGGAGTACCAGGAGTACAAGTGGGCGTATTCAATCATGGACTCGTCAAAGTAATTTTCTCTTCATTTCACGTCAAGTAACATAAAGTTCTACGACGAATGAGCATTATATTATATAGAATTATACTATTCGTCGTATCAGGATACGTCCAAAATTCAAACTTTTCCGTAGAAAGCTTTGATTAAATATAATTCGATATTTTTATTGATAACGTAAAATTTCTTACACTTATCGCGTGCACAGCGGTGAAGGATAACACCGTGAGGAATCGTGCATATTTTCGGTATATTAACAAATTAATGTTTCGAAGATACGTGAAGTCCACCAATCCTGTAGGTCACGCGATGGACTATGCCCTAATAATATATGTACAGAAGACAGAGGAGGCCTCTGCTCAGCAGAAGAAAATTTATAGGCTTTTACGTTAAATATAGTAGTTTAACGTTACGTTTAATAGCTTGCCATTTTCTTTGCAATATATTATATTATATTATGCAATATAGTATATTATGAATATATTTTCGTGAAAAACAGACAGTATTAAGCATAAAAAAAATTAACTTTTAAATCATCAGTTTGGCCTGTTGATAAGGTTGCACCTTTTAAACCTAACGCTTCATATATTCCGCTAACGAATTGTTTATATTAAACATACGACGTTTAACCTCCCATCAGAATGGTTACCGCGGTCTTCGGGTCGCCGGGAATACGAATACAACAGAAACGATATAAAATTCTTAAAATATATTTTTGTTTCCAAATTGTATTACGATGAAATCGAAACGCCAGTCTTCAATCTTAGAAGCTTAGTAAGTGCTTCCCCGCAGTTTGCCCTGCCAAAAACTATGCATCTTATCTGAGGACAGCTTTCTGTACATAGTGACCGCTACGCTGCTGGGCGCAAATTTGACACAAGGCTAAATGTCGGGGCCGATTCGTATGCGGCATACTACCCGAGTTGCCGGGTGAAAGTGTTTTGCGAACTCTTTCCCGCGATTTCAATTCGGCCATTGTTTAGGCAATGAGCACTCGTCCGATCTGTTTCTGATTTATATTTTCGTCGCGTCGGATTTCTTCTCACATTGTATAGGCAGTTTTGCGGTTAGACGGTGCAGACCTTGCTTAGTCGCTAGTCGTCGACCAGCTTTCCTATGTTAGGGCTACGAATGCCTGTGGCGTACACCTATGAGTTTCGGTTTTACGCTTTTTTTTAGATACGAGAAGGAGTGCCGACTTGTGAAAATGCGCGGGAAGTAGACGGATGTAAGGCTTAGGATCGTGCTTGATGCTAGACTGTGGAACCTATGTCCAGCAGTAGACTAAAATAGATGGCTGTATATCGCAAATGAAACTATTTTATGCTACAATCGCTGTGTCCAGTTTGTGTTAAAATTAACCCGATGAAACGTTATTACCGTGGTTGTGGAAGAGGTACGACATTTCTAATGCCTAGACCACCGTGAAGTGAAGTCTTTATTATGCGTTTTATACGGTGCGTGAGGTAACCGGAGGTTTTTAAAGGTTGGCAACGCTGGCTACCGATCCTCATGGGTATCGCTAAGCATAAGGTCGAAATAAGCGTTACAAATCGTTGCCTTCTCTTTATTAGTACTGTTAATTCAACTTGGGCACTTTAGGCACGAACACTATCCCCCATATAATTTGACTACTAAGTTTAAAGACATTGAATCCGATTTACGGTTGATTTCAATATACTACTTGTACTATCTGTAGAAGATTTGTTTACTGGAGATAGAATTTTCACGTAAATGTGATGGAGCTAATGTCAGATATCTATCGCCAGTTACCAAATCTGCAGGTAGTTAGAATATTGAAACCGGCGGTTAGTTGCCATTGCAATCACAGTGATGTAAACAGATAGATTGCTTGTTATTTCATAATTTGCCTTTCCGATTCTTTCGCGTAAAGGCGTACGGATTTTTGTACTGCCACGCCCTCGGCCATTTTACCTATTAAGTATCGCCACGGCAAATCTATTGAAAAGCAGAGACTAACGAGATTTAACGAGAAAATTAAGTTATTTTTTTAATGAGATATCTCATCGTTTCGACTAATGTCGCTCTTCGCAGACTTGTGGGAAACATGCCCCAATTTGCATTTTTTTTACTTCAATTACTACGTTTTGTTCTTCGGATCGAATACAGGTCGATGTTAATGGTCTGTCATTTCCGTTTTCCCACGCCTAGGCCTTGTTTTACATTTCCCGTCGATTATTGCAGGAAAGTTGTTCGAGCGATGTCATTCATGTTTCGATCCCATAGATACAAAGATGATGTTTATTAAATAATCCCGTCTAGTTTATTGTTACTCTTTGTTCTTTCTAGCGCTCTGTTATAATGTATTTTTAATGTTACTAAAATTATTTAGTTCGTCCTGAGTTTATGACTAACATTAGTTGAGTCGATAATACTTAAATACTCTTTTAAAATTTCATCATTTTGTTTTGGCTTTCCGAATAAAATATTTTTTCATAATAATATACTGTATTTACTTACAAATACAGTTTATTAGATGACATAACAAAGCTTGTGGTAACGGCGAGAAATTTGGAATCACTTTTGCAATCACTTATACATGTAGTAGTGTAAATCCATCAATTACATAAGTAATCTATTTAAATAAAATAATAGAGTTCGGCCATTGTACGCTCATCACGGGAAAACCAATGGAAAGATATTAATTCTTATAAGATTTACTTCTTGAATACTTGGTCTTTAAAAAGATAATGTGATATATTCATATAATGTAGAGTTATAAAATTTTTAAGAAACAACGTTTTTTATAAGCATTACGTGTTAGAAGTGGGGCAAGCGGTAGTTTGTTAAATAATAAGCAATCCAGACGAAACCGTAGGTGTCAGCTTATGACAAATGTTGTTTGTACGAGACATGATTTCAGTCATCAGTACAAAGTTTTTTTCGTGGACATTTGCAAAACACCCGTAGGGTTGCACTGTGCACATACCTTGCCAACTTTTAATAAAGTGGGCCACTGCTACCTCACTCACCAAACGAAACGCAGAAGTGTAACTACTTCCACTTTACGCCGGTCTTCCGTGAGGACCTACCTCAGGACCTATCCATTCGTGCATCAGCGAAAAATGTTGCAGGGCCTTACCATAAGTCATGTGTCAACGTACATAATGTTATCATGCAACGTTATAATGTGTCAACTTAGTTATACATTTCGAAACATTCGCATTATATAAATAGCTGCAATAAGCCTAAATCGACGTTAGCTAGACAACGCTCTTAATTGGAGGGGGCTCGATGGGCTATTACGTTTTATTACGGACCCGCCGCTCAAGTGGTGAGCTGAGCGTCGCCGTCATTTATAATGTTATATGGAATAAAATAACATTTTTACTAACAAAAAGGCGCCTTCAAATATTTAATTTCTTAAACATTTCTCATTTCATTTTGAGGCGTTCCCTGATTTGTCTGTGGAGTACAAGGTCCAATAAGCAATGAAATTAATATGCAATTAATGTGACTACGTGAAAGCTAAACGTAACCCAATGTTAAAAGAATTTTCAAAATCAGGAGTTCTTATGTGAGAAACGTAAAAAAATAGGACCGAATTGAAAGCCTCCTTTTTTGTAGTCGGTTGTTAGGCCCGATTGTTTAGCCTAGACCAATGCTAGAACCGCCATTTTTGTAGTCGGTTGATAGGGCCAATTGTTTAGCCCAGACTCTAGAATACTCTAGACCAATGCTAGCCTGGTCATAAATCCCAAAGGTAAGAATGACGTAGTGAAATAATGTCATTGGGTTCGGAAACTCACTGCGGAACCACCAGTATTCGAACTAAGATCTTCAACATCCCAAGGCCGCCGCCATAACTGCTAAGCTATCGTTGTGTTTATTATCTTTTTATTTTATATTATCTTTTAATTCGGTTCATTTTTCTCTTTAATAAAAGTAGTTTACGGATTTTTTAATTTTTAACTCCTTACGTTTTGACTATTCTACAGTTAGTGGCAGTCCCTCACTAGCTGGTAAACTTCCCATAAGATGCTCACCGATGGAAGCACAGCATAGCATAGTTCACGCTGATCGTTCGATATTATCAATTTTAGGAGCTAAAAGCGTTGTACGCTTCATATATACGCTAAATATTCCAAACCGGAAGTTACGCAATAAAAAGCGTAACTTCCGGTTAGGAATATTCTACAGCGTTAATAGTCATGGGACATTTTTGACGTTTTGTTTTTCCATCGTCATTTTGAAAATTACAGTTCACTTCTAGTTTTGTTTGCTGAAGTATAATACTGGTTGTTCTTAAACAATTGGAAATAACCTTCAATTAATTGTTCCTCATTATAAAATATCCCATAAATTAGGGATTATTGTAAATTTCTTAAATATACGTTTACTTATAACAAGAATGACTTAAAGTACCAATATAAAAATGACGATGTTATTGAACAATATGAAATTATTTCAATAAATCGAAAACTACAATCGCTGCAATCGATGGTTGGCAGTCCAACATACGTTTATCACGTTCTTTTTCTGAACGAACCAAGTTGTGGAATCAGTTGTATTTCGGAACCGATACTACTTAGGGACCTTATGACTCTGGTGCGGCAAGTAGCCATGGGCGGCGATGAACATCCTTCAGGTAGACTGGCCCTGCTCGTTTTCCTCCACTATAACGAAAAGTCAACGTAGCCAGTTAAACCAATACGCTTTTGAGTATACATCGTTGACCGTGTTAATTCGCGAGACATTTTTCGATTTACCATACGCTTAACTGTAAAAATGATAACTGCGCACAGGTGTGACCTGAAAACGAGTTGGCACTTCATTATGATTATTACTAAAAGATTTGCCTTTACGGTACCACATGTATTAATTTATTACTTTTATCTATAAAAGAGAGTAGCAAAATCACATAACATGATAGGTTTGCCAATGCTATTGTTTGTCGGGTGACTAGTTGATAGTTACAAAATACACGTTATATTTTTATAAAGTTTAGAATAGTATAATAAAAAAGCCTGGCAAATTCTGCAATTTCCTGTGCCTTAGAGAATTTTACACATTACACTTATTTACAACTAGTTGAGCTGTGCGCAATTTTCTCACAGAACCTAATCACCGCCTGGTATTATAATAATTTGCAAATAAGTATTATCAATAAAAGGTTATCTATGTTATTTCGACGAATACCGTTTTCTCATCTATCGTTTGAACAAATTGTCAATAGATAGCATTGTCATTCTTTATGAGAAGGAATTAGAAATGAATTTTTTTTTAGAAAAGCAATAACTTTAATGTATACTTGTCTAGTTTTCGTTAATAGCGTCGAACGTACGCTTTAAAATTGTGTTAGAATCATTAAAGCTTAACCAGAATCATGGTAGTCGTAGAGCACAGACAAAAACACCTATGAGAAATAATATAAAGACATCGCCACATTTATTATGATTCGGAGACGCAGTTGCATGGCTTCGGCACGCGACATGCATTTGATCATCAACAGATATTGTTCTGGTTCTGGGTGTTTATTCTCAAGGGAGTTTGACGTCAGGCAGGCGGCCTGTCGCAAAAAAACACAACCAATTCCCATAGCAACACGATTCACATGTTTAACCTACCTTGATATTATCAGCCTATAAATGTCCAACTGCTGGGCAAAAACCTCCTCTGTTACAGAGGGTATCAGGGCTTGACAAGGCAGACATTGGTAACGACTAGAGAATGACTACGGCTAGATTGCGTAGAATAAGTAATACTTTTATGGGACAATATATACGCTTTTACAACGAAATCCCAGAAAACGTGTAGTGATTATTTGAAATGTAAATAAATACTCTTGAAATAAATTGATCGCTCCATGCCCTTTCAAACTGAATTTAATGAATTGTACACGTTTGTTATTTTTTTTGTCAAATTACGAAAAAAAATGCCCCGCTGAGTTTCTTTCGCCGTTTCTTATCAGGTCAGTGGCGCTTTTTCCGAACGGGTAGTAGTGTTCTTTGACAATCAATAAGTGTAATGATTCTATATTGAATAAAGATATTTGAATTAGGAAAACCAAATGACGTGTTTGCAGTACGGGCACAGGAACAGAATCTCACTGATTTTTTTTTTTTTATTAAGCTCACCTGCAGATGTGACAATAAAACTTTCTTATGTCATCTATACACTAATCTAAATTCTTAAAACTTTGCACATCCAAATTATAGGCAAACACAACATTGATTGATTCACGTGTTTGTTGACGTTCACGTTGCGAGTTCCGAGTTTCTGTGGAGGATAAGCCAAAAATGTTCATTCACGCCCCTTCGTATTTCCTCAGGGTATCTGCCTGCGTGATCTCAATGTTGCTGATTGTGTACGGGAGCTTCAGATCTTTGAACATGGAACGGGAGGCCCGCGAGAGGGCGGACAGGGAGAGGGAGGCGACCCTCCTGGGGGGGAAGCCGGCCCCCGCCCCCTCCCCGAACAATAGTAAGTTTATTAACGTTGATTTTTTTAATGGGAAAAAAGCGGCAAACGAGCAGGAGGCTCACCTGATGGTAAGTCATCACCCCCGCCCATGGACACCTGCAACACCAGAGGGCTTACGAATGCATTGCCGGACTTATAGGAAAGAGTACGCCCTCTTCTTGAATGTTCCCAGGTCGTGACGGTTTTTATTGGTGTTTAATAATATAAATATGACGCATGTCTACAGTGCGCGTCGTTTAAAAATTGTTCCCGCTTTACTTTATATGACATAATATACAGCGTGTCGTTACCATCGCGACAATAAATGAACATACGTCTAACGCTACTTGCCAATAATAATAAAAAATATTAACGTTAAACAAAATCCATAATAAAAAAAAAATATTTTTCAAACAAACTAATTAAGTAAAAAAGAAACAAAATTTGTAACCTCCTATACAACTCGCGCCACAGCGTCGCATTACAAGCCTCTCCTTCTAACAGTATGTTTTGTCCCTTTTAAATTCATTCAACAATAACTGAACAATAAATACAGACAATAAATGAACACACATATAGAGGATAACTTTTTAAAATTGTATTAAAAATTTACATTCTTTAAACATCAATATTTACCGAGTTATCAAAGTTTCCAAAACAAAGAATTTTAGAACATCCTTACGTATAAAACTTTAATTTAAAATTCATTTGTAAAGGTCACAAAGCATATGAATGGGTTGAATGAATTTAAAAGAGACAAAACATACTCTTAGAAGGAGAGGCTTGTAATGCGACGCTGTGGCGCGAGTTGTATAGGATGTTACAAATTTTGTTTCTTTTTTACTTAATTAGTTTGTTTGAAAAATATTTTTTTTAATTATGGATTTTGTTTAACGTTAATATTTTTTTATGATTATTGGCAAGTAGCGTTAGACGTGTGTTCATTTATTGTCGCGATAGTAACGACACGCTGTATAATATCACGTATACAATGTCACGGGGATTGCCGACAGAAATGATTTTTTTTTTAAATTGATATTAGTATCAGTTTTTAAAGTCACAAAACACTAATTTAGATTACAAAAGACCTGTTTTATTTCTGACAATTTACACCGATAAATAACGTTTGTTTTATTTGCGCGTTAAAAATAAATCGAACAACTCCTGTCAGTGCCTGCTCGCTGAAATTGGAACTTCGTCATGTTGGCATGATAGAATTTTAATAGTATGCCCCGTTGGTATCTTCACAGATGTCCAGACCCTGAACACGATGCAGGCCCTGTGCTTCCCCCTCGGCTCCTCCGTCGCATTGCTGGTGATGTTCTTCTTCTTCGACTCCATGCAGACCCTCGTGGCGATTTGCACCGCAAGTGAGTTTACGCATCGTTTCCAATGAAATCAGCATGACATTACGCGGAGAACCAAAAAAATATTTAAAATTAAATAAATATATACAATCGAAGTGTTATATTGTTGTGTTTCATCCTTTTTCAATCGACTTCAAAAACGGTGGAAGTTCTCAATACGAGTGAGCTTCCCACGTGGTCCCATATTAATTTCATTGGTATTGGATCTTGGTCTCCGGAGATGCTTGGGGAACTCCTGAAAATCAATTACAAAATGAATACAGAGCGATATATTTGAAGTCGGTTTTGTTTTTAGTTATTAATTTTTTTGCTATGTGAAAAGTTGCCAAGCGAGCAGACGGTTGATGTTAAGTGTATACCGCCGCCCATGGACATCTGCTACACCCGAGGGCTCTAGATGCGTCGACAACCTTTTGTAAATTGGGACGGACCAGACGAAATCCGAAAGTATTATACTTCCACTTTACGCCGGTCTTCTGTAAGGTCGCGGTACTCACCCGGCCGAGCCCGCCCATTCGTGCAACAGCCGAGGCTGCTGCGTGGCTATACCACCGTGAAGTTGCAGTCCGTCGGGAAGCGAAGTATTAGCGGTCTAACCGTATGACGTTGCGTTCGGCAGTAATCGCGTGCGCGGCGCTCGCTTTCCTGCTGACGCCGCTGTGCCAGTACGTGGCGGGGGGCGCGGGGGCGGGGGGGCCGCGCGCCGCCTGCGGCCGCTACTCGGCGCCCGAGCTGGCGGCCGCGCTGCTAGCGGCGGGCATCGTCGCCGTCTGGGTGCTCACCGGCCACTGGCTGCTCATGGACGGTGAGACTGGCTACTGTCCCGCCGGCCGCGGGCTCGCGACCAACTGAGCCGCTCTTCGATGACGCCGACGCCGACACCACGGCCAGTGCGCCACGGGTCGTGGGCTCGAATCCCTGACGGCGAGACTGTCCCGCCGGCCGCTGGCTCGCGATCGCCGTCTGAGCCAGCTGCCGTTCGCGCCCGTCGGCCGCTCGCGCGGACAGCCTCGCTCTTTGATGACTCCGAAGCCGATACCACGGCAACTGCGCCACGGGTCGTGGGTTCGAATCCCGCACGGGACATAATTGTATTTGTGTGACAAATGATTAGTTTCGAATCTGGGTGTTTGTCCGTGTAAAAAAAGACCTTGCAAAAACAGGATAGTGTTGTCCTTATTATAATTACGGTAAGGAGCAGTGTTTTCGATGGGAGTGTTGCACGGGAGCTCCCATGTCGCAGCGGTCGTTGGGACTTACACCCAACCTCTTCCACACAAAATACAAAATACTCACTCGCAGCGCTGTGGCACTCGCTACTGGCTTATAATCCGTGGGCCGCTTTAGGGAGGCGAGCGATAACCATATTCGCATTTTTTGCGAGCTCACTGTCTCGTAAATCGATGGCCGTTTTGAGAAAACGAGTGCTAAACAAACTCGCATTTTTTTTGCGAGCTCACTGGCTATACTGGCTACTGGCCCGTAAGTCGTTAGCCGCTTTAGTTAGGCGAGAACTGACCAAACTAGTCTTATATTTGCGGACTCACTGGCTGTGATACTGGCTGGGCTTATCCTCTAATGCGTGCCAGTTTACATCGAAATGTTACCTAAATAGCTCTAGGAGCGTCAAAGCGAGCCATATTGCCATAATTTTTATTTGCAATAATGTTGCGAACTTATAAATATTCCTATTGTAAGTATACAGTTTATACTCACAAAAGCAAAATATATAAGTTATAAGTGTATACATATGTAAGTATGTTTAAAAATATATAAGCGGGCAACTCGCTCCAGTTCTATCATCGTGACGCACAATGGATTATGCTTTGACATAACCTAAATATTGGGTTTATTGACTTTCGAATAGTTACAACATTTTACAATGAAAGTTTCGATTTCAGCAATGGGCATGGGTCTGTGCGTGACGTTCATCGCCCTCATCCGGCTGCCGTCCCTGAAGGTCTCCACGTTGCTGCTCACCGGCCTGCTGCTCTACGACGTCTTCTGGGTCTTCTTCTCCTCCTACATCTTCACCACCAACGTGATGGTCAAGGTTGCCACAAGGTCAGCCTTATAAAGTGTTCCCAACCACCTTAACCCCTGGGGCCTGAATTGATTGATGATAGTTGCCTAGAGAAAAAGTTAGCTGGTAGACGGATTACATGTCTATGATTATTTTTAATAATTTTCGTGCTAATCAAATTTACTCGAGGATAAATATTTTGCGACAATTTATCGATCAAAGGAATCAACAAGTAAATTCGCTCTAAATATAATGATAATCTTAAATTTTATTAGCAAAGACTTCATGTATTGTTGAAATTTCCAATGTAAGTTTTATATAAAGGTGTCCGTTTACAGTAAGTTCCGCCAAGGCATGGCTCCGCCTAAATGAGCTCATTAGGCGGAGCCATGCCGCGCTAGAAATACAAAAAAGCACAAGTAGATTGTGTTTGTTATAAGCTTAGCTCATATGGCGAGAGCGATTCAAGTCTCGGTAATTTATCTATTAAAATTGGCATACAACTTTTTGTCTTTATTCTTCAATTTCCCTATTTCTTGCAAAATTTTCTTTGAAAGATAAAAAATATATAAAGAACACGGCGTTCAGCCTTGTTATATCACTGTAGGGAAGCGCTTGAAGAGAACACAGTACCGATATTTAGAGATAGAGTAGCTAGTGCGGCCATTAGCCACGGCGCGGGTGACAAGCCTGTCGCCGCTGCGTTCGCTCAGCAGCCACGGCTATGACCGATCGCCAAGGAGCGGGTGATAGGTGCGGGTGACGAGCCTGTCGCCTTCGTTTGTTCATGGCCGTTGTGTGTGGCGTCGCGCAGGCCCGCCGAGAACCCGATGAACGTGGTGGCGCGCCGGCTGCAGCTGGGCGGCGCCATGCGCGACGCGCCCAAGCTGTCGCTGCCGGCCAAGCTCGTCTTCCCCTCGATGCACCACCAGGGACACTTCTCCATGCTCGGTGACACTTTTTTATTTGCTCACTTACTTGCGAATCAACCTCTGCTAAATACGTGAAACTTCAGCTAATCATAACGCTATTAGCAAACTGTGCGGTGATCATTCTTCCAAAAATCGACGATCTATGACGATAGATCGATGACTTTTGGAAGCATTATGTTGATGTAATTGTGACGATAAGACAGGCGTGGCTAGCCCAATCCCATATGTTGGTAGATCTAATAACTCAAGACATGCCAAAATTGTTTATATTGTTTTGAATCTAAATTTTTATACAACATTGTTTAAATTTTCTGTCTGATTAAGTCAGTAAGAAGTCAGGCGCCTAATATGATTAAATTCAGTACTTGATAAAGGTCAGTTGTTTCATCTTTCTGCTGACCACTTACATTGTGGATTCTTGGACTACAAGCCCTTGATGCAAGAAGTTTTTCATGCTGTGTGTACTGTGAAAGCATCTAAGAAATTTGATGAAAAAAGATGAGAAAATGTCTACTGATGTAATATTCTTTGTTTTAGTTACTTGGCTAATAGTGTAAAAATTTCACAGGTCTCGGTGACATAGTGATGCCGGGTCTGCTTCTGTGTTTTGTGCTGCGCTACGATGCTTACAAAAAGGCCACTCTGGTGTGCCAGATGGGCCAAGTGCCCGGCCCTAGGTCCATGGTATGAACTTCACTACTCCAATGCTATACTCAAAAGCTATGGCTAACGAGAATGTTCTACACTTGACATTCACTTAGTGATTACCACCATCTGTGGGTACTTTCAACACCCCTGAGGTTGCGATTGCCTTGACAACTATTAATTTGGTGTTTCCTCCTGTCTAAATGTAAAAGTATAAATATTTTAATCTTACTATAGTCTTTCAGGCATAAGTTGCCACATAGTAACAACTGATTTCATGGGGGAAATTTCTTTGAAAGTGTGTCTGATCCAGTGATCAATAACGGTGGATGAAAATACAGATTACACGTCCATATGGGCACAGAATAAGACAGATATAGCCTCAAAAAAAGGAGATGAATGCAAAGTCGAATGCAAACCTCGACTATTGTACTGTAATAAAATCACCTAACCCCCACTGAAAATTTTTACAAAACGTACATACGTAACTGTACACGGCCGAGGCGCGATATGAACTGTGGCAGGAGTAAAACTTTTTTTTTAAATAGGATCATTCAATCTCCGCCCCTAGCTCTCTAAGGTCCGGCCGGTTTCAATATTCTATCTACAGATAGATTTGTTAATAGCGATAGATATTTGACATTAACTCCATAATACTTACGTCAAAATTCTATCTTCAGTATACAAATCTAAAGATAGATAGTATATTGAATTCAGTTTCAATCAAAAATAAAAAAAAACCAATCTTTAAACTTAGTAATCCAATTATAGGGGGTTAGTGTTAGTGCCTAAAGTGCCCAAGTTTTGATTTAACAGTACTAATAAATAGAAGACACCGATGTGTAACGCTTATTTTTGCCTTTCCTCATACTTTGCGATACCTATGCGTGGCAGCCAGCGCTGCCAACCTTTAAAAACAGTGTCCTCCTGTTAACTCCCGCACCGTACAAAACGCAGAATTGTGATTTCACTTCGCGGCCTGCCCATTCGTGCAAATCTATCTGCAGATTGAATATTGCAACCGGCCGTTAGAGGCGTATTCAAGTGCCGGTTGAAACAGGGCTCCCGGCTGACGTACTTCCACTGCTCGCTGCTGGGCTACTTCCTGGGGCTGCTGACGGCGACGGTCTCTGCGGAGGTGTTCAAGGCCGCGCAGCCGGCTCTGCTCTACCTGGTGCCCTTCACGCTGCTGCCGCTGCTCACCATGGCCTACGTGAAGGTCAGTCCGTGCACTGCTGTGTAACTGGACCCGCATTTGTTTTGGTGTTAGGTGAAAAACTTAAATATACACAGATAAGTAATTTAGGTAACACATAGTACTGAAATCTGTAACCCACTATTAACTAAACACAATATTTATTGATCATAGAGATAAAATATTATTGTCTAAAGATTTAAAATTTTGTAAAAGTAAAATGTAACTTATCAAACTCAAATAAAAGTTAAAGGGATACAGTACAATTAGTAGCACCTACATACCCAACTGCTGTGCCTGTACATAACTAGAAGCAAACTAAATATTAATGCTTTGTATATTTGATGCAGCTTTTATACAGCGTGTCGTTACCATCGCGACAATAAATGAACACATATATAGGGGATAACTTTTTAAAGTTGTATTAAACATTTAAATTCTTTAAACATCAATATTTACAGAGTTATTAAATTATCCAAAACAAAGAATTTTAGAACACCCTTACCTATAAAAGCATAACGTAAAGTTCATTTGTAAAGGTCACAAAGCATATGAATGGGTTGAATGAATTTAAAAGACACAAAACATACTGTTGAAGGAGAGGCTTGTAATATGACGCTGTGGCGTGAGTTGTATAGGAAGGATGTTACAAATTTTGTTTCTTTTTTACTTAATTAGTTTGTTTGAAAAATATATTTTTTTAAATATGGATTTTGTTTAACGTTAATATTTTTTTATGATTATTGGCAAGTAGCATAAGACGTATGTTCATTTCTTGTCGCGATGGTAACGACACGCTGTATATCACAGAATAATATATGATATGGGTAACATTTCTAACAAAAATGACCGAAAATGAGTAATCATAGTAAGTCTTAAAACACCTATTATTTAACTTGAGCCTGTTTTAATTGCCGCACGAGGTAGGGGATTCGAATCCTAGCGGTAAATTAAAAAGAGTTCAATAACTAAATAATTTGTTGAGTGAATCTCAACAAATTATTTAGTTATTGGCAACATTTGTATTCTCCCCCTACCCCGATACATTCATTACATATGATAGCGTGATACTTTAATTTCAAATTTGTGCTTTTAACACAGGGTGATCTCAGAAGAATGTGGAGCGAGCCGTTCATAGCGCCGAATGGTAAATCCGGGGCGGACTTCGATGTGTAGGCGGCCCCGACTAAATTGTCCCTGTCATGTCGAAAACGTTACTAGGTATCGTAAAAGTAAACGTTAACGGCGGAAAGGTCTTTTATTAAGTTATTTGCATCTGCAGTAGGTTTCAAATTATTTTAATTATTGCCTATTTCAAAAATGTTTTGATTTAAAATTGAATAGAAATTGAACTATTTGGATGCAACTCCCCGACTATTAATACTATTTGATATTCATATGATTGTACAGACCAAAAACATATTTAAATGTCATCATACTAATGATAATATCAGATACTTCATCAAGTATTATGTTTTTGTTCTATAAATACTCACATTTAGAAATTAAATTATTAAAAGTTTTCTTTAAACTCTGTTATATAAAAATTAGAGTAATTAAGAAGTCCTTTCTGCTGCTGACCATACCAAACATTAATGTGACTATTATACTCGAATTATGTTTTCAGCCACTTAATGCTGAATGTTGATGTTCAGCAATTTCTGTGAATTTGTGTTTTTGCTAAAATGTAGATTCCCAACAAGTGGCAAAAAATGTTATGGATCATACATATTATTTTTCCTTGGTATGAATTCATGTGTTTATGATAAGTGAAAATTATGATGAAGACATAACATGTATGCTTAGGTTAGCAAATGTGCTTTGTTTTGTTCAGATGTCATATAATGAGATGAAAGTTACACAGGGTAACTTTAGTGTCAAGACGTATTGTGGCTGGAGCAAAGCCAGTGCACTGAATGTCTTTTTTTTTTTTTTCAAGTATATTAAAATTATTGTCGATAGCTTTCCGAATACTCAATTTATTAACAGCATTGCTTCTCTCGATGACCAGTGAAACAAGTGTCAAGTGAGTTATATATTGATGGAGCCATAAAACTAAAATTGGAATGGAATGGATGACTCCGTGGCGCAGTGGCAGAGGTATTGGCTTCGGCGTCGGATGAATATTCAATGGTATTTAAATAGAAATAGCCTTTACATAATTATTGGGTTTTGCAGGGGATAACAGTTGATAAAGATTAATTTTGTAGAGAATCTTCTAACACCAATGGTTTATTAAATTTTAAAGTTTGTATATATGAATATAATATTAAACATTTTGAAGAATACAGCAAAGGTTTAGCATCAACTTAAAAAGAGATGCAAGATATATAACACGTCAAGAACGACCTCCAACTTGGGCTATAACAATATTAAATATTAATTTATAAAAAAAAGATTTACATACAGGTGAAAAATTATTACACAAGATTTATTGTTTAATTTCGCCTACTAAAAACTTACTAATTCTTTTTATATTAATGGTAAACTAGTTTATAGGCACGGTTTTAAATAGATGGCAAAAACTTGACTCATGTTGAAGCCTTGTAATATGCCTTTATCCATACTAATAATATTATAAATGCAAAAGTAACTCTGTCTGTCTGTCTCGCTTTCACGCCAAAACTAATGAACCAATTTAAATGAATTTTGGTACACAGATAGTGTAGAGCCTGAGAAAGGACAGGCAATTTTTTAACTGGAAAAAACTTTAAAATATATGTATGTTTTAAAGAAAGATCTTTATTTAAGGGCTTCAACGCGAACAAAGCCATGGGTGTAAAGCTAGTTGTTTATATACTCACTGAACAAATAACACTGTCACAAGAGAAGCAGTGTTGTGATACAATAAATATGTTCTGTACCATTACTTATGTGCAAAGTTAATATCACTATAATTATCCATTGACTGGTAAGCCCAGTGCTGACACATTTCATTGACTTTGAAAGGATCAGTGCCAAATGAGCCAGGCTTATTGAAAAGATTCTGCAACATGTTAATCTTATATTAACTATCAAGTGAACCTTTCTTTTGGTTTTCGCAAAAGAAATAGAAAGCTGGAATCAGTCACAGAGCCTGAAGAGCTGAGAATCTCATGTACCCGTAATATTCAATTTTATTCTTTTTTTTTGTTAGTGATTTTCAACATTTTTTGTATCTAATGAACAATCTTTTTCTAACATTGTTTTATGATCAAGTATGTTATCACTGCCTTAGACTGATGTTTTCAATGAAGAATTTTTTCTATTTGTTGAAGGAAGTATTGTAGACAAAATATTAGTCTTAATACATAGAGAATAGAGAACTAACTATTGTTTGTTAATGCCGACAACTATAAAAGTTGTTATAAATTATTTGATTGAATTTAATGAAAGACGTTATGTTAGAGTTAAGTAAGAAAATGTATTTGGTATGTGTGATTTAAGGTTGACACTAACTTTTTATATTAATTTACGATATGATTTTTTTTACAATCTATGTACCTATTAATAATTAAGTTTAACATGTAAATTTTATAATTACATCGAGCAGTATTTCCTTATAGAACAAAAGTGATATAATTTAATTGAGGCTTATGATTGTATACATAAATGTTACATTGTGTTTTAATGTTGTTAAAACTATAAACTACATATTAATGTTTATGTATATAATATCAGAAGAATTGGCAATATTGTTAAAAATCTTCTGCAATTTCTATTAGTGAACATTACTGTTTGGAAATCAGAAATCATGTCCTTGAAGTTGAACTTGAATGACTAAGAGTATTTTTTGGATACTTATATATATGAAGATTGTAAACAGTTTTGCATTATTGTACATACATAAATTAAATATCGATGTTACATGATTCATATCACTGTTCCATCACATCACAGCTCTTTCAAAGAGTGTGTAAATATTTCCCACACATGACACTACTTACCCACAAATATGGAAAGCATTTAATATTTTTATATGTATATGCGGACATCCCAAATTTACCTAATAAAAATATTAAATGGAACACTGCTTGTCTTTTATTTGAAAATACATAGGTTGTAATTTGTGGTGAAGAGGTATACTAAGAAACATAGAAAAATGTAAAAATATTAAACGGAAAAAAGATTTTCAAAATAGGACTGGAAACCACAAATGGTAAAGATAAGTTCAACATCAAAATGAAATCATTCAAAAGTCAATCCATCATTTAAACCAATAATATAATACTATTAGCCCCTCGAGGCTTTTACAATAAAATTTCCTTCCACAACTACAAGTAGTGTGAAGAGTTTACAAACAAAAATGTAAAGATTTATTTTATGTTGGATTTAAAGACACAGTAGTGTCTTTAATAGTAATTAACCATAGCAAGAACCAAGTCATTGTGACTCATTACTTTTTAAGCTCTATTTTAGCTAAGGGTTAAATTAAAAAGTAAGAAAACAGTAAGACTATAGAATATATAACTTTTATTTGTTTTCATCTACAACCTTATTTGTGTCTCTCTTTTGAATAAATCGCAATTGCTTTTTCTTCATTCTTTTTAGTTTTGCAGTGTTAGTTATCACTTGTACAATCTCAGATTTTTGTTTATTTTCTGCAGCTTTCTTTATATTTTCACGCCTTCTCTCCTTACGCTGAAATTCTTTTTCTTTTAACTGTTCTACAATACTTTTTGACAGCTCTTTGGTACGCTTAAGCTCTAAGCGCAAGGCAGTTTTTTTCTGAAAGTCTGATTTAAGTCCCTTGGTTTTATTTATAGACGAAAATCTAAAAAAAAATTTAATCGTTTAATTAACCTGAAAAGTGTAGGGTATTGTCGCACTACAATAATAGTTCAGCTAATATGATATTACTTCGGATTATGGCTACGTTACCTTTCTTTTTGAGATTTCCAAAATCTCCCAGATTTCGGTTTCCCCCTAATATTTTCTGTAGCTTTTCTGTCCGTTTTCATGGGTTCGATCTTCCGAGGAGCTTCACTGTCTTCTTGTTGTTTTTTTATTTGTTCTAAGTAAAGAGTTCACTTTGGTTTCTGTATTTGATGACATATTTTAATATTATAAGCACGTTTATTTATATACTATATAAAACAAATTAATAAAAATGTTAACATAATGTTTATATGTAACTCAATGACACGTAGAAGTGGGCGATACAAATCGTATCAGATATGAAAACTAGATATTAGTACAATATCCCAATATCGCTTACTGGCTCGTTCAATATCTATGTATTTTACAATATCTGATATTTCCGAAATCTGATGTACCGTGCTCGCTCGCTATACCGACACGAATCGCGATACGGCGATATCATACGCGTTTGCCACAATATCTGATTTTTAAACAGATATTGAGCGACAAAGCGCGTGAGATATAAATACTTACTAGTTAGAGTGGGACAGCAAGCAATGCACGATATCAGATATTGAGCGACAAAGCGCGTGAGATATAAATACTTACTAGTTAGAGTGGGACGGCAAGCAATGCACGATATCAGATACCGAGCGACAAAGCGCGTGAGATATAAATACTTACTAGTTAGAGTGGGACGGCAAGCAATGCACGATATCAGATATCGAGCGACAAAGCGCGTGAGATATAAACACTTACTAGTTAGAGTGGGACGGCAAGCAATGCACGATATCAGATTTTTAATCAGATATTATGAATAAGTTTGTAATTTTGAATCTTAACACCATGCAAATAAGATCCGTTTCATTTAAATACTAATCTTGGTATCAGCGATTACTACAACGATATTATTATATTTTTATTGTTTTGTTTAGCCTTGAGCCGTAACGGGCGACAAAGCGCGCAGTTAAGTAATTTTGAATCTTAACAGCATGGAAAAAAACTCTGTTGCATTTAAATACGAATTACGGTATTAACGATGTCTGAAATTTTGTTCAGCCTTGAGCTGGATTGCATTGGTACTTAACACGTAATAGTAAGGGATGCCAACTTACTACTTAAGAATTTTCTGCCTAAATTAAGGAAGAAAAATATACAATGTAAATTTTTTAGGAGGTAAATTTTTTGTGAATATTTTTATTAGCTGAATTTTATTCATATTTTTGGAAAAAAATAAAAGAACTCAAAAAGAAAAATATAATTTAATAGTGCTGTGCTGCTTTGGTGGAAATCAGACCAAGGCTTATGTGCCTTGTGTGTATATTTTAAATTCT